TATATATTATATATATTATAGGTAGGTTTAATGCGTAGGAATTTAAAAGGGCACTCCACTCTGTTTACATGTAGAGATTACTCATCACAAGAGGTCCTACTCTGTGAGAACTGGTGTTTAAAAGATGTTGGCATTCAGCAACAAGGAAGGGTTTATGTGATATATATGTGAACCTCTGCTGCTTTAATTTAGACGGTTTTCTCCATCAAGACCACTGCTCACCAAAGAAAGACATGTTGGAGCTGAAAAGGCATCTGCACACAGGCTGTGCAATATTCTTTTATTGAAATCTTTAAGCATCCTCAGCCAGTATCTATGTAAGTGTTGCATTTTCTTCCCCTTTCTGTTACGTATGTATAATCTATTTTCTAAGTCTGTCTAACTTTGAAGTGTAATTCTAAATCACTCGAGTACTCAATTTAAAAGGTTGAAACTGACCTTACGTTAATAAACTTAACAACGTCTGACATGATGTGTTATTAACATCAGGTTGACCTTTGTGATCATTTATTGAGACAAGCTTTCAGTCAGATCTTCTTAGGGCATCAACATTGTCAAGATACTGTGCTCATCTTTTCCTGTTGATGTTTGAAGAAGGTCTCTGACTGAAAGATAACCTCAATAAAATCCATATTGCAGAGATCAGAGTGTTTGGATGCTTTTTCTCATTTTTATTTTATTTTAGTTATGTAATCTGATCAAATCTAAATCTCCCAAATCCCCCAATTTTATTGATATACCATTTAAAAATCACTGATTTTACAAAAATGTACTTAAAACTTGTTTTGGTTGCATTATTGTATGTGTACGATGTGTGTGTGTAATATGTGTAAGATCTTTTAGCAAAGTGACTGAAAAAAGACATCAAATGTTTCTAAGAATGGGATGAGTCAGAGTTATAGCACCCACAGGTTTTTTATGGCCTTTAAATGCTGCGTGATAAACCAGTGTGAGGTTACAGGGTGGATTATATTGTATTCAGATTAATTGTAGCAGTTTGGAAACCAAAGTGAAGGAAGCTGTATCCTGAATAAATAATTTACTGTGGTAAATTCCTCGATATTAAGTTCCTGTAAAGTAAACTTTGCTCTGCTGAATGCAGTAGAGGGGCGTCCACAGTAGAGGGAGCAGCTGCTGTGGGGGAAGCGTTGGGGCCAGAGGTTTTGGAGTCACCATCAGCAGCAGCACAAAGCCACACACAGCTTCTCCCCCATCTGTTTCCATACTTCGGAACGATTACTGACAGCTAATTAACTCCAAATATTGTGTTAGCTCAGTAATACTCAATTTAGGAAAAGGCAAAATCAGACACTTCTATTTCCACATGACAGCCTGCTGTAATGTCTATTCACAGTACGATCCATGCCTTTGTTACACACTTTATTATTTATTGCTTATACCTATTGATGACTTTTCCCTCATGAGTATGTTTGATGATGTAACAACCATAGGAAAGTGTACAGTATGTCACATCCTGGAAACACACATTTGCACATGCAATGGAATGTGGCCTGCTATTGATTTTCAATGTGAGTCCTCAGCTGCAGTCGCTGGCTGTCACATGAACAAGCACAGTCACCAACAACAAGAGGTTAGGTTCAATATTTTCTAGATAATAGCCGGTGAGTTGTATTCCACTAAGTGTATATTGTTGTTATTACTGATGCTGCAGTCCATTTTATCACAGTTCTCCTCAAGCTGATGTCACTCAGTTATGAATGTCCCAGCCGAGAGGACAATGTCACTCACCCTGATCAATATTCTACATTAAGAGTTTCAGCTCTGTGCAAGGAGCTGACGTCACAGCCGATGAGCGAGCAGCACCTTTTGTCTCTCTGTGCAGTGACAAAGCATGATTGTAAAAGTGGCACTGGCAGCTGACACTCGCTCCAATGAGCAGCTGACCTGTGGACTGCTAAAATAAAGAATGGATACACAATGGCAGCAAGAATATAACTCCCAGTTCTTTGTCCAGTATCATGCCCACTAGATTATCAAGGTTCCTCCATTCAGTCAGTCTGTGTAGATGCAGTCACATTTAGTTTGTATGTCTCATGAAAACATTGCCTGCTGCAAGAAATAAAGTGATTTATCATTACAATATGGTTCCAGTCCAACTGACCTTTAATTCAAACAACCTGCATCTGTGTCTAACCCTTAACCTTGCCAGTGGGACTCCTCAGGGTGCTGTTCTGGATCCCCTCTTCTTTTTACACTGACTAAGTTTCAAGTTCTTCTGCACTACACAACACTGACTATCAGTGGCTGCTGAATCAAGACACTGGTACTTGCCTACAGTGTTGAGAATGGCTCAGGCCTATCCTACATCCAGGACTTGGTAAAACCATACACCCCAGCACATCTGCTACTGCCAGTCAGCTTGCTGCCTCGTAACTATGAGTTGGGCAGTTACCAATCAACAAATTCATGACTGTTTGTGGTTCTGGCTCCACAATAATAGAACAAGCTGCTTATTGACACCAAGAAAGCACTTACTCTACACATCGACTCTACTCATCTGCTCAGACTTGATAAAAACAAAAACAAATCAAAAAACCTTATTGTAAATGTAGCACTTGAAGAAGTTCAAAATGCCCAACAGTGTCTGTTAAACAAATGTAACGTAACAGAGTGAGGTCCATTTACTGTTCCACACAAGTTTTAAAAAGCATCCCTCATATTGAGCTTACAGACCCAGGTCTCAGAAGACTTCTTTTTTTATGCTCAGAGAAGCCTGTCAGATCATCTTCTCAGTGTTTGAAGATGATGACCAGCACAGTAAAGTCATCCTCATCATTTAAAGTCTAACCTATAGGTGAGAGACAAAAAGGGACAATCACATGCACCTGCACACGTGTCATTATTGAGCAGCCAGTCAGTCTATACAAAATGATTTTCCTCTCTGCTCTATGTAAGCAGTCATGCAATGTATACATGACAAACCCACATGAACTATAATGTGATTGTTAGTTCTTTGACCCTCAGGGTGGTGTCAGTTAATTTCACCCCACAAGTCTTTAACTCAGTCCATCAGATACCTCTTCACTGAGGATTTGGCAGCTTTTTGTACTGGTAATCTGGTGCTGTTTCATCCTACAGGATGGCTCAGCCTCCTGGTCTGCTGGTTTCAGTTACCCTCACTCTGTCTCTGAACATTAGCCTGAATGTTTGAAGTTGGGATCCATGTTGTCTGACCATAATGTCTCAGACCCTTTTTTAAAAAAAAATTCTGTAACCACAGACAAATACTGTCCCAAAGTCAGTGGTAAAAAGTAACTAAGTACATGTAGTCAAGTACCGCTTATACAATTGTGATTGAAAGTATGATCAGCCACTAAAATATAGTGATTTGTTATAGACTGAACTGCTCTTGACCAATTACACCAGTAAAATGCTACTAGATGTAAATACAGTATACATCTGCAATAATAATGCAATATGTGGAATAATATAATACACTGAACACACAATTAATACTTCTATCTATATATACTACAGTATATTTTACTGATATTGCTTCTCTGCTCCACAACAAATATTTGCTTATTGCTGCTTCACTTCAATGTTTGTCTTTCACAGTGAAGACTGATGCACAGGCAGAGTTTGACAGTAAATGGATGTTTTCACATTCTTCTATATAAGGAAGAACATTTTTTAAGTTCAGTTCACACAAGAGCAGATCATGTGACACCACAACTAGTTTGGAAGCCAATCATGGTTCAATATGCAACTAAAGAGATGTGGGAAATTAAAACCTTGAGCACAAGTGTTGTATACTGACAATGGAGTTTTCAGTGAAGTAGGAGACATCTTGTGTGACCGGTCTTTGACATGTACAAACATTAACTAAGGGAAGGAAATATTTTATAGCTTAACGCTCTGAGCTGACACTGTGAAGTGTGATCATCCTCTGCAATCCTACAAATGATCCATCACTTGTGTCGGTGAAGGTGTTCAATCTTAGACTAACAAATGTTCTTGCTGGTGAGGTTTACTGAAAAGATTCAAGTCTGCTATTATCATCCTCTTTCACTTCATCACATAGATTATTAAAGCCTGCATGGAATGTATGAGGATATATGAGGTAATGTGGGGAGGAAAATTACATCAACAAACTGAGTTCTCACTGACTATTGCAATAGATGATGGAGTCTCTGATATGAGTCCCTGAAGTGAAATATCTCTTATGAAATTCATTTGTAGAAACTTTAATGTAGACAAAACAACAGTGAGTGAAATACAAATATTAATAATGAACAGAAGGGAGGATTCCTTGTGGTTTGCAAAAGAAGAAAATAAATAAGTTAGAACAAAAACAAAGCCTTAAGTTAATATACAGATCATTACAACCACTAAAGAAAATGGGAGCAAACCTAAAAGAAGACATGTGAAACTATTAGTTCAGTACCAATTGTTTGAGTGAATATAGCCAAAAAACGGGGTACTTTTCATCTAATATCTATAATACAGTATTTACAACATATATATGAAAAGTCATAACAATGTGAAGTACACAGGACTGAGATCTTCGTGTGTTTATGAAACATAAAACATAAAAAGTTAAATTGCAAAGGAGACAGTCCAGTATTGGTTTGGATGATGGGTTTAGTATTTTACAAAGACAGTGCAAAGTTTTGCTTGTATGTATTTCTACCAACAGCACAGACCACAACAGTATCCATAGTGCTTAATATAGCTGCAGTTTTTACTGTCTAAAACGTTTCCTAATTTGTTTTACTTTAAGTTTTGACCTGTCAATGTTCTAATACCATCACTGAGCTGAAAAGCTTGTCTCTGCAGAGCATAAAGCCAATCAGAAGAGTAACTACAGCCTATCCTGCTACGGGTTTGCCAAAGAGACAGAGGAAGCCTGTCCTTACAGATGGAAGCTGTGCTGGGTTGTTCTTCACCTGACTGACAGTTAAACAGCTGGATCGGACAGTTAGTCCTGAAGGTTAATGTCTTTTTTTTTTAGCTCATGGTGATCATCTCATATTTGTCCTTCAGACTGCTGTCCTCGTCCTCTTCATCTTCCTCCTCTTCTTCCTCCTCCTCATGGGGCTTCTCAGGCTCATCACGGTGGTGGTGCAGCTCAATGAACAGGTAGTAGATGATGGCTGCGACCACGCCCCCCACCATAGGCCCCGCCACGGGGATCCACCACCAGTAGTCTGCAGTGCTGTTAGCATGCAAAGGAAAAAGAGGGCAGAGTTAAATGCATCTCTGGCAGTCACACAAGCGGCTGGCTCCGAGGCCACTGTGGGTCACTGGTGCTGTCACTAGATCATTCACAAGCATCGACTGCATCTGTTGAATGCATGTGACATTATATAACACTACGGTTCATGTCAGCAGCTCGGGTCTTATCCAGTTTACTTCAATAAATATTTAAATACATGCATCTAATAAGATCCAATTTGGATGATTTGGCAGGCAGGTACATATATATGTAACCTTTTATGCATAAAAACCAAAAGGTTATTGAGTTACTGTGTAGGTTGATAAAATTAGATGTGTTCCTTTCAGATGTAACATATATTTATTCCATATTTCCTTATAGTTGTCATTTTTCCTGGTAATTATCTCATATAACCTTATTCTAATAATAAATGTAACCATATTTTTAAATGATGGTGTAAATGGACTCCATTCTCTAAGGACAAGCCTGATCATTGTCACAAGACCTGAACACAGTAGAATTCAACCCAGGTACATGAGAAAAATATAACAATAAACCCGATCTGTCTTCCTCCGCTGTACAGTTACCTGAAGACCTCCATCCCCCATCCTGCTAAAGCTGTGAACAGTCGGGGTCCCAGGTCTCTGGCAGGGTTCAGGGGGTAGCCACAGTTCAGTCCCATGGACACACCGATGGCCATGATGATCAGACCAATGGCCAGCGGTTCCACGCCTTTGGGAGCTCCAATGTTTCCACCATCAATGATAGCCAGGATACACAAGACCAGCATACCCGTCCCCATCACCTGCAGGAGTACAACATCATTATAAACCGCAGAGTTTATGCAGGTACACATCGTAACAAACATTGGTAACTTCCCAATTACAGCATTGATTGATTTGCTTTTCCCTTATTATTTTTATTGTAATTCAATGTATCTTGCCTTCAGTTTGTTGAGTTGTTTATTTTATGTTTATGTATATCTAAGTTAGGTGTGTTTGTACGTATGTGAATGTCTTTGTGTACATATCTTTTATAATAATGTTTTTCAAATAAGTAAAATATGTAGAGTTAACTTGTATAATTAGGCTGTATCATTCAGTGATTCCTTTTTAACTATGTAATCTGGATATGTATCACAAAGTCTACTCTTAATGGTTCAAATCTAGTTTTTAAACTGCTATTAACTGTTTAAACAAAAAGCATCTAGGGACGGCAACCTGCACAGCACCACTGTTACACAGAAAGGAAACATTTATATAAGCACTATTAGACTTATCTCAGTGGTTCACCTGATGTGGTTTTCAACAGTTTTAAGCTGGTAGACGTTTTATTTTTGGATCACTGCACCGACTAAAAAGACGGAAAATGGTGTTAAGTATAGATTTGACCTTCCAGCGAATGCCAGGAAATGGGTTATTAGACCCAAAACTGAGCAAAAGAGGGAGTGTTCTCAGACTAAATGGGGCAATCAATTTTGCATTAGCTACATTTGCCAGACTTTGCAGTATTTTGAGCCTGAATGGGAGCGGAGGTGCACAATAGAGGAGAGGTCATTGGGTCACCGAGACCATAGCTCACCTGATCGATGAAGCCACCGAGGACTGACAGGTGTCTCGCAGGGTAGGAAGCAAAAATGTGACCTGTTGCATTGATTCCCGTCACTGACAGAATCCCACTGGTGAAGTCCATGAAAGCATCTATGAGGAGGACAAATAGATAGCTGTAACTGTGCACAGGGATCCATTAGTATCACGTATTGATGAACGTCTAGCTGAAATATTTTTACTGGCAGCTGAACGTTGACACTCCCGGTTTTAAGCTTTTGGAGGTCATTACCAAGTGTAAAGGTTTAATATGCATGTGCAAGTGAATAAAGTGTATTCACCATAGTACAACCCAAAGACCGCAGCAGCGCCAACAAAAGCACCAAGAAACTGAGCGATGACATAGAAGGGAAACTTCCAGATCTTCAGTTTTCCCAGAATCACCATGGCCAGAGACACAGCAGGGTTCACATGGCCCCCTGGGACGGAGGACAAAACAGAGAGTGAGAGAGAGGCGTAGTGGGTGGGGGTGGCTGGCATGATATCCTCTCCATCATTAGAGAGGCCGTCACATTCACGAGGAGCAGCAGAAGGGGAGCAGCCCCTGGGGCGGTGCAGGGTTTTGTTATGTATGGTTACAAGTAAAGAGGCAGAATAATGGTCACATATTAGAAATTCAACCTTTAAGTAAAAATATGAACAAAGGGAGCATTATTCTGTTCTCTTTTAATCAAACCGTGCTCACATCTTGTCAGTTTTGAAGTCTTCAAAACCAATAATAAATCTGTTAGTGTTCAGTCTAAATGAAATTGGAAGTAGCTGCTCTTTAGGTAGGCAGTCTCGTTTGGACTGAGTCTGGTCTCTGTCATAGACAGATGAACGTAGCCCATGATCAATGGAGTTTGCAGGACATTTAGTGCCTAGGGTTATGTATGACCCCAGAGAAGCTGTGCACTAGTACTAACAAATCAATGCTCGGTACACGTTCATTGAATCTGGACAGAGAGTTGGCACGTTCCTGCTGACACTGGAGCCATGGAGGCGGCACATGGCTGGACAGGAAGCCATAAAGTTATATTATTACAAGCTGCAACCCTCATGAGTAACAATGTTTTCATTACAACAGATATAAAAAGGCTGTGTGAGACTGTTTATATGTTCTGGCACAGGTTGTTTGTATTAACTATGAATTATTTTAATGTATCATAAAGTCTGTAGTGCTTTACAGTAAATAAAACAGCAAAGAAGCTAAATATGCAAACAACAAACTGTTAACAACTACACAATCTTAAAACTGATATTTTTCCATTGATTAGACAGGATTCAAATGCCCAGCAGAGCAGGATATTGATCTCAATAAACTCCATTAACAATTACTCATTCAATTGTATTGCACCAAATTCAATATTCATATATCAAACACTGCTCATGTGAGATAAGTTCTACTTGAGTGGAAATAAGCAATCAGGTGCCGAAGTTCCTACAAACAACCAAATGTAACCACATTTACCTGACACTCCACCAGCCACATACGCTGCCATCATTAGTCCCACAGAGAAGCCGATGTGGATGGTGAGAGGTTCACCAAGGCTGTTTCGACTGAGGACGGTCTGAGCGACTGAGCCACAGCCAAACAGCTGACAAACAGAGGAACACAACAGCAGACAGTTCAATATAACATCTGTTCAACTAACTTAAATCTCTCTTAAAATATAACATCCCAAACGCAGATACGGAAGCAAGAACATTTATGAACATGAACTAGAGACCATTAAACTGAAATACCTATACACAAAATCACTTGTAACAACTTCTAAAGCAAATATATTCAGTTAAGAGGAAAAAAAAATAAATTAATATCACAAAATGCTACTTACAACCAAGACAAATGTTCCCAGGAATTCTGCCAGGAATTCCTTAAGTATTCCATGTTTGAGAGCACAGTGTTGCCTCATGCTTCTCCTGCGTTGTATTTCAGTGTATCACTGTGCCAACTGCTGCTAAAACTACCAGATGTCCAGCGGTGTGAACTTCTGGAAGTTCAGAACTCTCATGTCAAATCTCCACCTCTACCCGACTGCAGCCACTCAGCACAGACCATTGATCCACTGTAAAAACATCACAGTCAGCTTTATCAACACACAACTGTTTCACAGCGGAGGGCAGGCAGAGTGATTGACAGGTGTGACTCGTAGTTCGCAAATTCAAATCAGATTTTCCGATCTGTTTGTGTGTGCAGTCACAAACTTTACAGAAACATCATACAGCTGGATTTAGTTTCTGGAGACGTATAAACACCAGTGAATGTTGGAAACACATTTTAATAAATTTCATTAGTTTGCAGTTTACATCATATCAACTTACATTGCAAAGGAATAACTTAAGGAACAAATTCATTAATTAGAGTGCAGGTACATAGGCCAGTTTGTCTGTTGCATAGTAAAAACATCAGTTTGTCAGGTATTGTAGTTATACATGTTGCCACTAGAGGTCAGCCTTGGCAAGGTGCCATGCTGCTCCCAACTGGACACATAATGAGATCACACCTGAGCTGTTAATGGAATTACGTTGAATTATGATATCAAGGATTCTTCACAGTCAAGTCCAACGTTCCTTAATAAAGTCCAAAAAATGACAGTTTTTTTGTTTTCAATTACGCATCAGTCGGTCAATCAGATCCAAAGTCATCCAAGTTGTTCACATCGTCCTCCGCGACCTTAATGAGAGGAGGCGATTTCTTCTTACGCCTGTCAATGCAAAACATAAAATAAAATAAAAGAGTTGAAGGACAACATGATTTCACGTAACACCGCACATAAAACACAGAAACTCAGTGGCAGAAGGTGAGTGGTCACCTCATCTCATTCCGCAGTGAGCTCAATTGGCTGTGAAGCTGCTCGTTGGCCTCGATCTGCTCATCCAGTTCCCTCTGCAGCTTCTTTTTAGCGTGTTCCAAACGCTCGATCTCCTCCTCCGCCTCATCCATCTGCCTCTTCGCCGTCTTCACTCTCTGAGTCAGCTGCAGAGTTCACAAAAGTGAGATATTGAGTCACGAGTCAAGTCTGCTGCTCTTGACTACTTGACAACTTTTTTGTTTTTCCTTTGTGGTTAATAGATGTGTCTAACCTGGTCTCTCTCGCTCTGCAGGTTGATGTGTTCCTCGTCCGCCTGCATCTTCATCTCCTTCACTTTGCGCTCCAGCTTGCGGTTTGCTTGTTGCAGGTTGCTGTTGTCTCTGAGGCCAAAAGCACCAAGAGATCACATCACTGCTGTAGCTTCCTGTAACTCAACACCTTCCTAGCATGTTTCGAACTAGAGATACTCTCACTCTTAGAACCACAGGGAAAGTGATATGAGTGGGTTCACCGCTCGACAGCCACCATCAAGTATTTGATGGAACCATTATCCAAAGTGTCTTCTAATTGTTACCTTGCGCTGGTAAATGCAAACTCTAAATACATTTATGGCTGTAAATATTTTGTTGTTAAAAGCTATGAGTTCATTTGTTAATGTGCACGGGCTCACCTCTCTTCTCCTTGCAGCCTTTCCTCAAGTTCCTGGATGCGGGTGTTAAGTTTTGAGACGAGTGAATCCTGGTTGGTTCTCTGTGATCCTTCCAGATGAGTCACTCTGCTTTTCAGGTCTTTATTCTGACAGAGGAAATTAAACAAGAGAATGTCATAAATTAGGCGAAATTTAAAGGTAAGCAGGAGGAGTTTTTGACCACTAGTGCGTGTTGAGTAAATGTTTTTATGAGTGGGTCCCAGTTTTGTTTGCTCTCGTGCACAACACACACAAGGACACACAAGCAGCTGGATGGCACGATACACAGTCCGGCCAATGGTTTCTGCTGCTGGCAAGTAAAGAGTTCATGCAAATGTGAGAGATCAGCTGATATTCAGAATATTGTTCATGTTTATTATAATGTATGAAGGACCCCACAATATTGTTTATGCTTACTGTAGATTGTTTATGTTTACTATAAGGGACCTCACAACTTATTCTTTTTATTCATTCTTTTTATTCATATTCAGTCTGATTTCTGTACATGCAGACATTGTTCATATTCTAAATATACAGTTGTTATTGTTTTTTCAGGCTGCAGTGTTATTTTAAGCAGTAGCTGCATGGGTTTTGCCTCCAGGGAGCATCTGTCAGTGAGCAGAGAGTTAAGTTGTAGAAGAACTACTCCTCTCTAGTGTTTGTTGTTGTTGTTACCTGCACTTATAACCAGAAGATTAAGTTTTTAGGCAGCAGAGGAGAGTGTAAGCAGACTGAGTCGGAATAGCTGTTTTGTTTTGTCAAATACATAAATAAAATTGCTACATAAACATAAACAATGCAGGTTTCACAATATAAAAAAAAGATTTGAAGGCTTTGAAAATGTTTTATGGTGAAGGGAATGAATTCGGCACATTTGTTTGAGTTCTAGGATACTCATACACACAATGCGCTTTGGTGAATGAATGTATACAGAAACTAACAGATGCCGTAGACAGTAATGATGTTTGATTATGTGTGCTGTTGAAAAGATTTAACTCTGGTCTGTTGTCCAGGCAACTGTCTCAGGGATCAGTACCTGTCTCAGGGGTCAGTAACTGTCTAATGGGTCGGTACCTGTCTCAGGGGTCAGTACCTGTCTCTCCAGGCTTATCTTGTCACACTCCAGGTCCTGCCGGACTGCTCTCTCCTGCATCAGCTCAGTCCTCATCTGATCCATCTATAACACGCGACCAACAGAGAGGGATTCAGCAGCAGTGTAAAGTAACTAAGTACATTTACTCAAGTACTGTACTTAAGTCCAATTTTGACATAGCTGTATTTCACTTGAGTATTTCCATTTTATGCTATGCAGACATTTTACCTCGAAACTTCTCAAATTTAATTTAACTGTCCATGGCTCAGAGAGGTCTAATTATCCAATATTTCACAAAACAAAGCAAAATAATTTTTTTGACTTCTTCATTTCTTTCTTTCTTTCCCATTAATCATCTCACAACCCCTCAGATTCATCTTGTGACCCTTTGAATCACTGGACTAAAAGGTATATGTACGTATATAAAGTAGTTCAAAGGAGCTCCAGCTCGACCAGCAACAACATTAAAATTCTGCCTACACATCCATGCATCAGCATTAACAATGTAAGAGTGTAATTTATTGTGATATATCAACCACAAAGGTCACATGAGTACTTTTACTTTAGTATTTTTACATTTCTGTATTGGTAAAGGATTTGAATACTTCTTCCAATGCTAGCGTTATAATATCATAATATTTAGCATAATATAAATATTTAGTAAGTTCACAAGAGTAGGACATGTGAGCACCGAACCAGTCTCAGTTTCTAACCATAGAGCTAAATATAGGCACTTTATTGAACTGCTTTCCATATTGACTGAAAACACGGCTGTACTTTATTAAAAAGGGCACCACCTGTTGACAAGAACATTCAGGTTATATGAAAGCTTCTCAGCTTAATTCCTAAAATCCAAGGAAATGCAGTCTGTCTGAGTAGCCACATCAGATATAGAGGCTCTCTCCTCTCTAATAACATCCCGAGGCCCAGTGAAGGGAGTGTGAATAGCTGCTCACAATAGTTAGCTGTTTTTGTCTTTGCACTGCACCCAAAACAGTGTTTTGTGTCAATTAGTCTGCACCACTTTTCTCTCATGAATGGTGGCCTACTTCACAGGCGCACTGAAGACGTAAGGCTCCTAGGACAACATCAGAGATGAATAAACACATATGAAGCCAGTGAGGCTCGATCATATTTAAAAGTTAAGAAAACAAAACTAGTTTCACGCCCAGACTGGAAACACCAATCAGCAGCTGTCAGTGTCTGAGGGGAAATGTAAGTACTCAGCTCTAAATCTGTTTATGATAAAAACAGATGTAGGGCTGGGTGTTCAAACGTACAACGGGGTATTATTCGATCAGATAGAAGAAAATTCATGAATGTTGATGTGAGACTTTGTGTAGTGAGGAAGGACAGTGGGGAAGTAAACGTGCCTGCATTTTGGTTTTGTCTAATCGTTCCATCAGGCGGTCGGCACTGCAACGCTCATCATTAAGATCTTCCTCGAGTTGACTGATGCGTCCCTGAGAGGAGAGGAACACATAAAAAATGTGTCAAAACATCATCAAGTTAATATATTTACCAGTACAGAGGACATGCTGAATCTATCCCTTGAGGCTGTTGTTAGAAAACAGACTCAGATTTTTTTAAAAGGGTAATAATATATAAAGAAAACTGTGGAAAAAATGCAATAAAACAAAGATAACATAACCTGTGATAAGTAAATATTTTGTGCAATTCTTCACTGCTGAATGGATGTGAGTGCTTTGACACTGGAAAGGGAGGAAAGAGGGAAAGAAGATTCCCGAGAACACCCAGACAGGTCTGATAACTTTGTACAGTAAACATGAGCTTCCTTGGTCGATACGCAGTGTCAACACTGTTCACGCTGGTATCACTGTGTAATGTTTTGTCATCAGCAAGACAAACAGTGCTGAGCTGTGAGATGTTGTTGCCATGGCTCTTTTCACCACCCTTATAGTTAACAAGGAACAAGTGAGTGCAAATACTGGCACCTGAACAGATAAACACTTCAAAACATGTGATAAACTGAAGTATGTTGGACTGGGTGCTCTAATAAGAGTGAGCTTCCGATGATCATCAATTTTAGAGTTTTAGTTTTTTAATAAACACATATACAGTATGTTATTATGCCAGCAAACATTGCTGTTTTCATCTAAACACACTATATCTCCACTGTGGAAAGATATTTATGTTTAAACTGCGACTTAAGGATGAGATCTACTGTGAGCTCAGAAATATTTTATATAATTTGGCCTTCATTAGTCGAAACCTTACTGGACAAAGGTTTTTTTTGATTTTCAGGAGTCACATGAAAATTCTTTGCAGGTACTGAATGACAATAATCTGGACAAAAAGACACAATATTGTCACGTCCATGTCCAATGAAAGAAACATTGTGAATGGAATAATTTTGTTATTTTTTTTTCTTTTTTTGTTTTACCCATAAGCTGCTTTATATTAATATTCATGTTATAGTATTACTCAGCCTGTGAAAACATTTGTATTATGTCTTCTGTGGCTCTGGAGAGAGGTTTCCAAGGTCTGAGAAGTCAGCTGGAGCTCTGAGACCACAGATTTATAACAGAAACATGTGGTTAGAAACTGGAGATGGCCAGTCAGAGAAGATCTAATGCTATTAAGTTGTATTATGGGAAATTTAGGATCTGGTGAATTTGGAGTTCAACCCATACTCGAGATCAGTCTCCCAACATTATGGAAGAACAATACTAAATTCCTGGAGTAAAACCTTTAATTCCACAAGTTTCCTAAGTTAGGGCTACAGAGACGTCTACCTCCATGAGTTTGACCTGCCGCTCTCGGTCTCCCACCGTGGTTGCGTTCCTGTCCTCCAGCTCCTCCACCCTCTGCTCCAGCTGCCGACCCCTCAGCTGGGCCTCCTGCTGCTCCCTGCGACACTGGCGCAGATCCTCCTCCAGAGGAAGCAGCTGGATACAGAACAGACCACAGTACAAACACACACTCTAAGATAAGGTAACAGGCAGCGTCTGCTATTAAGCAATCAGTCAGACATTATTAAACAATTACAAAATCAATCAAATCTGGCAACACTCTTTTATTCTGTTTCTGTTTTATCTCTCACAAACATTTTTAAAACTTGTTTTAGCACCAAATTTAGAAGAAAAACACTGAACAACGGGAATCGACTCCTTTCCACCCCGGTGTTGACATTTTATTTTATCTTATTGATGACTGAGACAGTTGAACCCACACACTAATGAATCACACAGACAATGAGCACCACACCTCTTCCTGCAGTTTTTTGGCTGCCTGTCGGGATTTCTCCAGCTCTGCTCCCTTTTCCTGCAGCTGTCTCCGCAGCTCGTCCAACTCCCTCTGACTCTTCTCTCTGGCCTCATCGACCTGGTTCTGAAGCACATCTGTAGACGCCTCGCACTCCTCCATGATGCTGTTCATCTGGACACAGAGATAAACAAAGAGCTTCTACAGTGAGATAAGTGGATCTCTCTAGTTGCAGATGCATCTAATCCAAGCATAAGAAATATCGGTTTTTGCTGATCTCATGTGGCTTCAAGGTTAATAAAACAGAGTTTAATGTCTCCAAAAAAGCTGAATTTGGGACCCATTAAATAGTCCACCCTTCACCTTCCTCTGCAGTTGCTCCACCGCCCTGTCCTGCAGCCTCCTCTCATCCTCCAGTTCAGTTTTTGTCTTCCACAGCTCCTCTGTTTGTTTCCTCTCCTCCTTGAGCTTCTCCTTGAGGTCCCTGTGCTCATGATTTAGTTTGGTCAACTTACTCTGAGAGAAAAAAAAACAGAGGAAAGAAGAGACTGTTAGCTTCCAAGCATGGGGCTAGAAAGTGTCTAATGTGCATACGGTTTCTCCTTTTTAAAGATTTCTGAGGGTATTTGACTTTATTTGACAGCTCACAACAACAACTTTACCTGCACGTCCTCCAAGCGTGTGAGCAGCAATTGGTTAGACTGACACATCTCCTCCTCGTTCCTCCTCACGTCTTTCAACGCTTCCTCAACCTGCTGCTTTTCCCTCTGGGCAACCAGGAGAAAATAAGGATATAGTTAGTCTGAGAAACAAACTAAAGTGAATCAGATATTTTACCCATGTGTCCGTGTTTCTTACCTCCAGCTGCTTTGCTCTCTGCTCCAGCAGTCTCTCTGTGGTTTTACACTCCTGGATGGCCTGATTAAGCTGATCCACCTTGTTGTTCAACTCCTGCACCTTTCCTCTCAGCTGATCTCTCTCCTGGCTCAGCTCCATCAACTGCACCTTAGCTGCGCCGCTCTCCTCCTCTACGTTGACCTTCTCCTGACCCAGCAGGGCATTACTCTGAGAAACAGGGCGGAATCACAATGGATGAACACCAGGAGCAAAACAAACCATGCTGTAGCTTTTGAAAACAAAGAGCAGACGTGCATCTATCTCTGTTACCTCTTTGGCCTGCTCTAAATCCCTGAGCAGCTTTTCTAGCTCATTTTCATATTCATCCTTCAGAGCGCCCATGTAGTTATCGTGAGTCTCCACCTCCTCTTTGAGTGCCTCCTTCAGGGCACTGAGTTCCCTCTCCCTGTGGTGCAGCACCTCCTCCTGCTCCTCCTTCACCTGTAGCATCTCTTGAAAGTCTGCACGCAGCTGTGCCATATCCTGACAAGCATCCAACGAAATACGTCACCACCCTGAGCTTTACAGCTGCTGTTGATTTGTGGAGTGTATCTTGTTCATGTGGTTTGATTTACCTTTAGAAGGACTTCTTTCTCTGTATTTATCACCTCTTCCTTCTTGACTTGGTCCAGCTCATCGTGCATCTCAGAGAGCTGCTGCTGAAGGTCTTTCATCTCCGTCTTAGATCTCCCTCTCTCTACCTTCATCTGAGTCAGCCTGACAACACACAAAAATATGCAGGAAAGACAGTTATATTTTAGTTCCACATATTATATCAAGGAAAGAAGCCTGCTTACGCTGCTTTAATTTTTTAGAAAGGTACTTGGTAGGACTAGATAACAAAAAAAGGGATGTCTGCACACTTAATCCAAATGGCATTTGACTCTGTGTTCGGTCACATGACTTTCATCTGATCATACATCACAGTTCACTTGAATGGCCTTAGAGTATGAGCAGAAGCTTATTTAAAGAAAGTGGAACATGGCAATCTTATTAGTTCTGCATTTCAAAACTGTTTCATTTGTTATCCACTGAAAACATCTAACTTTACACTTTCTTTTGTTTTAGGACTCATTTAAATGAATATTTCAACAGTTCATCAGTATGATACATATGAACCTTAGTTAGCTTAGCTTAGCATATAAAGCTGGAAACAGGGGGAAATAGTGGCATCTAGTGGTAAACTTCACCCTCCCAGGCCTGTAGGAGAAACAACGTTGGCCACGAAACTCTCAAAAAGGCTTAAGGCCTTATCTAAGTCAGTGTTTGGTTTGTCCATTTTGGGCTACTGTAAAAACATACAATTCAACAGAGGGGACGCAGTAGAAGAGGACCCGCTCCCTATGTAGATAAAAACGGCTTATTCTAAGGTAACAAAAACACAACGATTCTTATTTTCAGATGATTATACACTAATGAAACATGTTAATAGATCTTCCTTAATGCTACAAACTAGACCTTGAAGTGTCAATTTGACACCTTCTGAAGAGTACTCAAATTCAACATTAGACACTTTTCTCTGTTGAATTATAACACAGTCTTCATTGTAAACTGTGTTGAATGGCTTTGAGATCTTTACTCCTGTTTGGTAGACTGAAGTTGTGCCTCGATGTAAGCCAGTCTGTCCCTGAGTTCACAGAGCTCTTCTTGACTTTTGTCCAACTCTTCCTGAAGTTTCTTCTTTTCTGCTCTGGCCTTCTCACAAGCCTTGGCTAGAGTCTTTTCATTCTGCACAACAGAACAGCAGAGAGTAACATCATCAGTCACAGGAATAGGAAGTGTTTTAGAGGTGAATCAGCAGGATGCGACTCCATTTCACCTTAATCTCAGTTTCCAGTTTGTGCTTTAAGTCAGACACTTCCTTCTCCTGCGCTGCCTGTTTCTCCTGCAACAGCTTCACCTCAGCTGCATAATCCTGCGTAAAGGGGTAAAAGGAGACAACAACGCAGTTATCTTCATTTTCAAGTCTGACTGAAATCATATTGAACAGTAATCAAACATCTCATCCCATCACACACTTTCTCATCCGCCTCCTCCTCCACATTTTCAGCAGTCTTCCACTTGACCTTGTTGACCCTTTCAAGCAGCAGGGTGACTTTCCTCTGAGTTGTGGAGTCATCATCAGTCGTCCTGAGGAGTAAGAAAAACATTTCACAAACACACTAATAGTACTGACAGAGTGTAATGATAAAAAGAAATGAGTCAGTTGTTAAACAAAGATATGGCAGAGCAATTTGTGGTGTGAAAGAAAAA